CGCTCTTCCACATGAAGCCAGCTGGGTGACCTTTGGTCAGTCACAGCTCTTTCAGCACTCTCTCAGCCCCCCAAAATAAGTCTAGCTCACCATTTTAGTGGTGCATAATGCTAAAGGGCTATAATTTAAGGCTGGCTATACTACACACATCTTGCCATACAGTAACACCGGTCACACGGCAAAGTTGCCGCGGGAAAGGCACGGATGGTGGGCGGATTATCCGGGCACGATCACACCCCAACAGCTGGGAAGTGGAGTGCACCCGGGGCTTACCGCCGACAATGCGCGTTCACGGGCTGCCTCCAGACGCCGGTGGTGTGATCGCGCCAGCGCGCGGCATTCCCCTCCAGTCGCTTGGCGCCAAGGGAAGGACTTGTGGTGTGCCGCCAGCGCGTCTGATCGCGTAATCGCGGGTCAAACTGCGCCTGGGCAATTAGCCACCACCACCCCATGATATCCGGCCCGGGTGACCGGGCCTAGTAATTATTTATTATTATTACTCCAGAGGCTGGTGCAATATGGCCCAGCTACTTCTTCACCCCAAAGCCTCTAATCTGCCTACTGACCTATATGTGTGTAACAGGATATTCATATGTGCCATCATTGTAATTTGGATGCAAGTTGCCTTGGTATTTTCTTCACAGATGTTCTTTCCATGTGGAAAACGTGTGTAAGGAGACTGTAAATCACTTGTATGTTACAACTGTGATATCTTGATTCAACAACTGTATTCCTAGCTTCAACTTTATTAACACATCGCCATTTATTATTAGTTGTTGACAGCGATAAGCATCACGTGAAGGATTTTGCTCTTTGGAAGGCAGCCAGACCTCAGGAAGTGTGCTGGGATTCTCCCTGGGGAAAAGGAAGGCCTGGCTGGCACATCGAATGTTCCACAATCTCCAGGTTGGTTTTCTTGGGCTTCAAGTAAGGGCTGGAATTTTCCTTACTTGGTCAAGGGAAGCTGTTGATCAAAAAGATTAACCCCCAAATTAATAGTAACAGCAGACTGGGTAATCAAACTTTTTAATTTCACATTGGAAAATATGAGTTCTTCTCAGATAAAAAGAAAATAAACACCAATATATATTGTTGTTGCTGCTTCTTTGCTCACCCGCATATGTTTGCCTAATGCCACCTAGCACAATAAAACACCCAAGTAAAGGGGGTGTGCTGAGATACATGTAGCATCCTGTTGGAGCCAAAGATACACATGGCACCCTAGTGGAGCCAGATGAGTGATTCTTGAACTGTAGTTTGTAGCATGTTTTCTAGGTCTTCTGGAAGACCACAGTGGAAAGAGAGAGGCTTATGTACAGTCAACTCCTTCTGTATTCTGTACACTTGTAGCAACAAATAAGGTGAAGGTAAAAGGGAAGCACTGTTGAATAGCAGGCGAACGTCTTACTGATGCATAGCATGTACAAACCTGGCAGTGCCTGGCCAGCAGTGCTGGCATATGTAAGACGTTCTAATTAGGAAGCCTTTTTTCTGTGCATGGGTTCCAATGGGTACAAAGGCCCTGGTCCACAAAGAACAAGCAAACCAGAGTAGTTGTTGGCAGTACAATAAATGTAACTGGATGTGACAAGTTAAATGGTGGAGGACAGAAGTCGAGTGTCACCCCAGCTCCGATCGAGACCAGCACACAAAGCTGCTCATCATCCTTTGATAGCACGAACATTAGTGCAAAGGGGGTAGTGCATGCATTTCCCCCTACTACTACCGTCACACCCTAGGCCAAGCTGCTCTTTGAAACTCCAGGGATTTTAAACTGTAGAATCTGACAGGCAAAGTAATGAACAGAACCATGGGCACTTTCTTGGATCGATACCAGAGTTTGTACACATTGTGAAAGAGAATTTGTGGAAACGTCAGATGTACATGGAAGAAAAGGGGGGATCTTCCCCTAAAGAATGCATGGGAGAGGAAACTGAATGTTTTTCAATATTTGTTTTGCTATCAGTATCAGCTTTGGACCCCAAAAGATGGCACGTTGCCATAAAAATTGTAATGAAGCTCCTGCCAGGGGCTGACGAAAAGGGCCGGGTTCTTCGGTTGTTTTAGGGCTGCTTCACACAGTGTATTTCTAATGTGCACGAGCAAAATGTTTCACTGGTAAATACAAAAGTTAAAGTGTGTGCATGCAATGTGTCTTATGTTTCCTGTCATCTGCCTCTTGTGGGCTCATGTGCAGAGAGCAGGGGAAAATCGCAGCTTCTGCTGTATGAGATGAGCATGCAAGTCTTGGAGCCATCTTTGGAGCTGCTGCCAGTTGGATATGAGATTGGCTGCATCACACAGTGTGGGCCAATGCAGTGTGTGAGCATAATTGGGTGTCTTTCTGACAGCAGTTCCCAGCTACCCTTTTTACAGCTCTTGCATCCGCAGGGAGTTTCTGCTGGTTCTGCATGTGGTTGCAGCCTTCAGGCATATTACATTTGTGGACTAGAAAGCCTTGCCATCAGCGACAGGAGAATTACTCTCATGAGCTGTCAGGACGTCGGGGTGCTGCAACGTGTCAACTGGCCAAGACGTATTAAAATAAAAAAGGATTTAAATGTATCCAATTGGAAAATACCCTTTTTGGTAGCGTAAATTTAGCACTGGAATAAAATGAATTTGGGTTCTGGACTAGTAACTCACTCCAGTGTTCAAAACAGAATTTAGAAAATTTATTTACAAAAGACAAACATAAAAACATACAAGTAGGGGAAAAGAGTGTATAATGGAACAAAGACAAAACAATAAACCTATCTAACTAGCCTCTAGATATACTGACCCTAAGTACCTTACAGCTCCAAAGCAGATGTCGAGTAGCCATCTTCCCAGCAGCAATGATGCAAGAGAGTGGAAGTCCTGAAGAGTGTGAAGGTCCTTCTTCCAGCTTCACGTGCTCTTCGCCAGTCTGCGTCCACCAGCATGATGTTGTCATGTGATGATAACTTCTTGATGATGTGATCTGGCTTCCTCGCCTTTGCCCCATATGTTAGCCCAGTTGTCACTTGCTAATTGAGTAACCAATCGGGAAGATCAGTCACTTAACCTAGCTGAACTGAGATGAAGTCTAGATTTTTAGTTGTCAAACTGACATTTGAGCTGTAGATAGCCAACTATCAACCAATTACCTTGACAGTTCCCAGCTGCTAGCTATTGTATTGGAAGGTAACTACATACAGGTGCTTGGTAGATAAAGCTCTTTGATTACTTGGATAACAGTCCTGAAATCACTTATACATGGGTTGTAAAGGTGTACTTCTTTTTGTATGACTGGTCTAAGGACTGTAGAAATAAACTAAACTAAACACTTATACATGGGGTTTTTACCTTTTACAGGATGACAATTCAAAAACAGATGCAAACGCTTACATACTGGGGAATTACTTTTGTGACATGAGCACAAAACCCTTTTGTATGGGTTGTGTACAAAATTAAACCTCAAATGCTGAACTGCTCTGTAACATGGATGGCAACTAGGCAAGGGACTTCACTTATTTATTTATTTATTTATTTTTCGTATTTATACCCCGCCCTCCCCAGTGGGTAACTGACTGTCTCATAATTTGCTTTCAACGTATGAATTTTTTTGTCTGCAGTGAGGATGGGGTTTTTCTCAGTCTGCTTGAGCACTCAGAGTGACCACTGCTCCTGCATCCACATGAAAAAAGAAAAGAAAAAGAAGTTTGCAACACACAGAGTTCCTTTGACTCAAATAGACCTAAAGTAGGAAAAACAGTACATGAATTGTATCCAGTGCTGTATCAAGTGTCTGCACAGTGTAACCCCTACACAGTTATTCCATTTTAAGCTCATTAAAATCAATGGGTGGAGTTAGAACCTGTGGGCATTGTGCTAAAAGTAGCTCCTTGCAGTTTTGCAACATGCTTTCTTGCAATGCAAGAAGCTCTCTGTCAGAGAAAAGAAAACTTGTGCCGGAAGAAGGAGCTACTGCTAATGGAACAAATGCAAAGGACCGAACTCTTAAACTAAAGTAACCCCAAACTAAAGCATTGTTAGTCTCTGGCCTCCACAGAGAGATTTATGGCTGTCAAATCAGAAATACCTGCTTCTAAGGAGAAACTGTTCAACACAGAAATATAGGTCTGAAAGGGACCCCAAGGATCATCTAGCCTAACCCCCTGCACAGTGCAGGAAATTCACAGCTCCCTCCCCGCCACACGCACACACACATCCAGTGACACCAGAGAAAGGCTCAAAAACCTCCAGGATCCCTGGGCCAATCTGGCCCGCAAGAAAATTTCTTCCTGGCCCCAGTGTTTGGCAGATGATGATTGGAAAGATGCTATAGAGTTTTGAATGAATTAGTAGCCTCCGATTCATGTCTGTATTGATCTGCAGCTTGGATTATGAATGCTGTTAGGTCCTGCACTAATTTATTAACATTCCCATGGTACCACTGTGAGTTTCTTTTAAATTTATCGAATGTTCTTGTTACAGTCTGGTATTTGGGCAACACTTGGATATCCATACTGGTGGGATAGATCTTGCATTTCCCCATCATGAAAATGAGATCGCTCAGTGTGAAGCTTATCATCAGTGCCAGCAGTGGGGGAATTATTTTCTTCATTCTGGTAAGTTGAGAGTTCACTACACCCTTTCACATTTTGCTTTTGATGTTTTGCATTTTTGTGGTGCCTCTTTTTATTTGACAACTAGGGCATTGTTCATACCGCTGTACTGCACTGGAGGATACATCTCTCTTTTTTAAAAAAAGAAGAAGGAAAACGGATACAAAGAAAATTAATTCAAAATTAATTATGGTAATTTAACAAAACTAATGCTCTTTAATACTTTTCTGACTTCCATTATTTTGAGGCAGCAAAAACTGTTCTGTAGTGTGGTGATCCACAAGACTGGGGTCTAAGTTTGCCTGGAGTTTATTATTGTGATTAGCCAGTTTTATGGAACATCTGGAGCCAGATGCCCCCCCCGAAAGGTTGTGTCAGTGTAGTCTGTGCAGTTGGGCTGATTAATGGATGGAGCCTAATATTTTATTATTTTGTATCCCAGCTTTATTTCATTATGGACTTTTGGGGTAAGCCATTATATCTGGTTTCCAGGAGGCCCCCTGCCTGGGTGGTGATCGAACCTAAACCTGCTTAGCTTCAGAAAGACTGTGGGCTCGTGCACCTTCCAGCCATACCCTGAGCCCAAACACCGCGCGTCCCACAGAAATATTTTGGTGCAGACAGGAGAAGTAATATTTAGCCCACAGACAGGAGTTAAAGTAAGGTGGGTGTCTTCTCTGAGGAGGACTACATACCCCTGCTTTTGAGTAGACCGTTCATGTGACTGTGTTGCAGAGCATGGCCTAGTCTCCAAGGTGACTTTGTCCACCTCTAAGAGAGTGACAGTTCCCTCTCTGGAAAGTAAAATAGGGGAGAGAATTTCTGGGGTTTATCCCTGATCACAGTTCTCCTTGTAGGGACACAGTAGAAAGCATGCTCTTGCACATACCGTATAATAATAATAATAATAATAATAATAATAATAAATTTCAATTTATTAATCGCTTTCCCCAGTGGGCTCAAAGCGATTTACAGTTACACATTTTAGACAGGGGACTAACAATGTTCATAGGGGACAGGGCAGACAACATATATTCATTTAATTGCACACGCCGTCACTGCACGGTGTAAACGTCTTCTGGCTTGGCTCAGTCATTTTCCGAATGGCTGCTTGTTGACCAGGCTTCAGGACCCATATGTCAGTCGCCACACTGCCACCGCCTGGCCGGAAACATCCACTGCAGGGATTTTTGTAGTCGAGAAGTTCTTCCGCCTTTTCCAAACCTCAACCAGGACATCCTGACCGTCAGCTAACACCCTCCCACAAGGGAGATTGGCATGCCCACCCTCTCTAAGGAGTGGTTCCCATTTTATCTACTCGCCAAAGCTTTCGAATCGCTGGGTGGACGATGAGCTGGGGAGAACAGGCTGGCTGCTCACACCAGCGCGGGGCTCGAACTAACACAGTTCGGATGTTAAGACAGTGGGATATACCCACTGTGCCACTGCTCCCCTTGCCTGTATGTCTGTGAACTATTGTTGCCAACCTCCAGGTAGCACCTGGAGATCTTCCACTATTACACTTGCTCTCCAGATGACCAAGACCAGTTCCCCTGGAGGAAATGGCTGCCTTGGTGGGTAGACTCTGTGGCATTGTACCCTGTTGAGGCCCCCCTCCACCCCTGAACCCTGCCCTCCCCAGGACCCACCCCCAAAATCTCCAGGTATTTCCCAACCCAGAGCTGGCAACTGTGTGAACTGTGAAGAATAAGGTACACCTTTGTGGATAAAACGTGTTCTCTACTTTTGTTCATGTGGAAAGCCTGTTAACACAGCTAAGTTAGAGCAGTTACACCAGTAATTCCATTTCTGGTTCCTTTTGCCTTGATGGAATAAATGCAACACCAACTGTACAGCCATTGTGCTGAATCACTAAAAAGAGACCACTTGGCATCATACAAAAGATTTTTACTAACTTAAGCAGTTATTCCTGATGAATGGTTTTCTACCGGTTTTGTAATGAATGTGTTTAGGAAGCAGCTGGCCATTCACGTTAAAACCAGCGTGCTGAAAGATTTAGAATTTTCCTAATAAGTGAGAGCTCAACTCCGCTATTTTTAGGATTATACTTTTATGTATTGTGATAATCATCATTTATATAGCACACATTTAATGTTCTAAGTGCTTGAATGTGGCTAATTTGTTTAACGTCAGTGGCACTGCGATGGAAGCCAATACATTACATTCATTAACTGAATTCTTTTTTTTATCACATATATTTTTAAAATGAATTATTCATGGCTCGTTATTCATTGTCAGAAAATACATTGTCAGTGTTCCATAATGGAATGCAGAATTTCAACAAGCTCATTAATGGGACCCTATTCAAGAATGTTCCCTTTTAGCTTTTCTTGAAATACCTGTGGAAGGTGTTGCACAGTGAAGATACACATCAAGGTTTAGGCAATGTACTGTGCTGAACAAAGCTGAAAAGTAGATTCCTGCAGAACACTTTTCTGGCACAGAAAACTCTCTTGAGTAGGAATTGTTTGAAAGTTGTGTGTAAATGCTCATGTGAGACAATTGTGTGTCTTCACGGCGTAATGTGTTTTGTAAGGGAATAGTTAGTCATGACTTTCTGGCACCTGTATATTACAGTGGAAGACACATGTATGGAAAGTCATCTACACGGAGGTTTTGGTAGCATTTCTTCTTCATTGCTATTCGTTTTTGTCCAAAATATGAAAAAGAATAAAAGCATGCTGCTTTTTTGAGGTTCTGTAGTAGGCATAAGAAGTTAGTGTTTACTACTCAAAATTACCACTCAGTGTTTGAAAGAAAATATCCTATAGTAATATGCAAATTTAAAAAAATCAAAATCAAAAGGCACTTGAAGAAACACACTGTAGGCATTTTTAGTTGGTGAACCCTGATCTTGCCATGTTATTAATCTGTTCTTTTTGAAGTGTCCTTATCTGTTTCTTGACTCATTAACAAGCTAGTAAGAAATTGGCCATGACCAGTGGAATATGCTTTTTTAAAGTCTGCTGTTTTGTAGCTTCTTACATTCTGAAAGGTAATTCACCTTTGCTTTGCCTGTTAATTCAGTAGTAGAAAGTGTTCATGTGCTCTTGTCTTTCCAGGACATCTGCATGTTAAAGGGAGTGTGAAAATGTCAAAATCACTAAAAAACTACATTACAGTTAAGGTACTGTAAACTTGTGTATATGTTGAACTTTATAGTTGAAGCCCTGTGAGCACAACCCACCAGGAATGTTTCCACTGGAAGCTCCGCTAAACAGATCCAGCTGGGGAAGAAGAGGGCTATTTTCTTATTCACTTTGTTATATCCTGCCTTTTCCCCCAGCGGGGACCCAAAGTGGCTGGCATCATTCTCCTCTTTTCCATTTTGTACTCAAAACAACCCTGTGAGGTAGGTTCTTCTGAGAATGTGTGACTGGCCCAAGGTCACCCAGCGAGCTTCCAGGGCACGAGTGGGGATCCAAATCTGGATTTCCCAGATCCTAGCCTGACGTTCTTACCGTTACACCACGCTGTTTAGGGTGAAGGGCCTTCCAGTCAGGTGGAGGGCATGGCAGGAAGCCTGACCCCTGCCATTGCTGGACTTGGAGATAAAGCACTTGATGCAGCCCACCAAACTCTGCGCTTGGTTTAGGGTCACAGCTCGAGAGGAGAAACAGAGAATTAAGAGCTAGGACCTAGGAAGTGAAAATTGCGCTGTTTATTTATTCACTGTTTGTGGTACTCCTGCCTTTTCCCCCTGGGGTTCTCTGGTGGCACACACGGTACCAGGACATAGCTGGAAAGCATGTGGCACTGCAGCCTTGCCGAAACCAAGGATGTCTGTTTGGTGCCTGGATGGGAGAGAACCTGGGAGCACCCGCCTGAAGCTGCCTTATACCGGGTGTGTGTGTGTGTGTGTCTGCCCTTGGTCCGTCAAAGCCAGTACTGTCTACTCCGACTGGGAGCAGCTTTCCAAGTTCTCTTTCACATCACCTGCTACCTGACCCTTTTATCTGGAGATGCTGGGTATTGAACTTGGGACCTTTCTGCATGCCAAGCAGATGCTCTGCCAGTCAGCCACAGCCCCTCTCTGAACTCTGTGTATATTGCCTTGAGGTCCATGATGGAAGAAAAGCATAAGAACATAAGAGACGCCAATGTTGGATCAGGCCAAAGGCCCATCCAGTCCAACACTCTGTGTCACACAGTGGCCCGAAATACCAGTGCCATCAGGAGGTCCACCAGTGGGGCCAGGACATTAGAAGCCCTCCCACTGTTGACCCCCCCCCCAAGCACCAAGAAGACAGAGCATCACTTGCCCCAGAGTCCCTATCTATACCTTGTGGCTAATAGCCACTGATGGACCTCTGCAGAATAAGAATGTGAGAATAAGTGTGGTGTAGTGGTTGAAGAGTGTCAGACTGCCCTGACCTGGATAGCCTAGACAAGCCTGATCTCATCAGATCTTGGAAGCTAAGTAGGGCCGACTCTGGTAAGTACTTGGAAGGGAGACCTCCAAGGAATACCAGGGCCGGGATGCAGAGGCAGGCAACAGTAAACCACCTCTCTGAAACATCCAAGCCCCACTAGGGGTCACCAGAAGTCAACCATGACTTCCAGGCATATTCTCTCTCTCTCTCTCTCTCTCTCTCTCTCTCTCTCTCTCTCTCTCTCTCTCTCTCTCTCACACACACACACACTCACACTCACACTCACACTCACACTCACACACACACACATCTGGGAGACCCAGGTTCAAATCTCCACTTGTGCCATGGAAACTCACTGGGTGACCTCTCCCAGCTTAACTTACCTCACAGAGTTGTTGTGAGGATAAAAATGGATGAGAGAAGGATGTAAGCTGCTTTTGGGTCCCCCGTTGGGGAGAAAGTCAGGGGATAAACGAACTGAGTAAAATAAATGAATGATAGGCTAAATGGGATTGTTGCATTTCATTCTTCTTCCCCCCTCCCCCCCGAACTGAATTGTTTGTATTAGACCAAGATGGGTAGCTGTGTTAGTCTGTCTGTAACAGACAGCAAGAGTCCAGTAGCTCCTTGAAGACTAACAAAATACATGGCAGGGTATGAGCTTTTGCTAGTCACCGCTCACTCCTTCAGAACAGAAGTGAGCAGTGACTCACAAAAGCTCATATCCTGCCACCAATGTTCCCTCTAAGCTGTGGAGTCCTGTGAGCAAAAATTCTACTTTGTGAACTACTGGCATTGAAGTTGTGAGCAAGCGATTTGGATACTGCATAAAGGAGTTTGCTCTGGAGCCATCCTTCCTGAGCTGAGACTAAAATGTGTGAGCTGGAGGCTAAAAAACTGTGGGCTAGCTCACACTAACTCAGCTTAGAGGGAACACTGCCTGCCACATATTTTGTTAGTCTTTAAGGTTCTACTGGACTCTTGCTGTTTGATCTTTGTATTGGGCTTTTAAAAATGCACCCAGTTATATTTGTAGTCAGCCCTTTCTTCAGGGTCTCTTGGTAGTCTCCCCCACAAACACACATTTTATATCCACAGTTACATTGTCACCTAGGTATTTGAGTTGACGTCTCCGAGGTCCAGATCCGTCTGCTAGACCACCTTAGTTTTAAAGATACTGACACGTGTTTGCCTTCCAAAGAATGCATCCTTCTCTCTGTTGGCAAAGTCTTCTCTTTGGCATAGATTTGCTTTTTGCATATCAGATGTGGTCATCTTGTCTTTTAATAACCACATTCCCGATGCCTTCTAGAGAGAGCAGGTTTCAGTCCACTGACCCAGGCTTCCTCTCTCTAAGCCATAAGAGAACCCCGCCTGGAAATTTGCTTCTGAAAATCTGCAACACTGACTTCCTTTCTTTTGTCTCCTTGGGTTTGGAATTAAGCAGATTCCAAATGACCAGTGATGCATGCTTTTCCCTTTATGTAGTTAACACAGGATACCTTCTATCCAGCTGTGCTTTTTCTTTGCTTCTTCCTTCCCGTATTCTTCTACCCTTCATTCCGCATTTTAATTTATTTTAAGTAGAATAGCTGCTTTACACAGATTTGAATATTTCTTTACCACCTCATGAGCACTGTGTTGAAGATGGGTACAAACAACTTATTTGTTGCACTGACCAGAGGATATCTGAGAAAAAGTGATATATCTAAAAACTCCTCACTGAGACTATAAAATGAAGCATACCAACAGTGTGGAAGATACACAGTTTGTGTATTATGATAGCCCATCTCAGTTTTATGTTGAATTTGCAATCTTAAATTTCCACAGAACTTCAGACTTTAACTGGTTTGTAATGTGGTGGTAGGGGGAAAGGTATGGCTAAGTGATGCAGAATATATATATTAGGAGAATTAGATATTAGGACTAGATTGTTAGATATGAACCTAATTAGACATTATGATCATGTAGGACACAAAAGCTTCTTCCCTAAACATTGGGCCTTTCTTTTGCATCTACTCTATATGTGAATGTAAACATTTCTGCAGCCTTGAGGGCTTGAAACTTTTGTTTACTTTTCAGTGAAATTCTCCGAAGTTATTGTCACGTGTTAGAGTCCACAAAACAGTCTGAAGAACCTGTGGATTTGGAGCAGACAGGCTTGACTGTTAGTGTATAAATAGCAGTGAATCTGTAATTTCAGGGTACTGGTTCGGGTTGGGAAGTGTTCTGAGTTAAAGAGCTCCTCCCAACTGGAGGTTCTGTCCAAGGCCCCTTGTAATCACAAAGCTGTGTGTGCAGAAATTATAGATATGAGTTCTGGTTTTCATCCACAGTTCTGTCAGCTGGAAGTGGGTGTGAACATATGATTTCTGGGATTCTGTAGACCATGCAGGGGATTCTGGGATAGAGGCTTTTCTGCTGTATTATCACAGTTATGCATTGTCTTGACTTTTTCCCCACGGGTCTTTAGGATTTCCTGAAGAAGTCGTCACCTGATCAGTTTAGAATGTTTTGTTTGCGAAGTGGGTATAGATCAGGTAAGGAAAACTCCTAAACTGTGAAATTGGATTGTCCAATTCATTGTGCATTATGTTCCTCTCAGAAGCATGCTTCATGTTTTCATTTTTGAGGCTGAGATGAAATGTTCCTGATTTGTTGGGAAGGGTGGGATTAGAATAAATTAAGTAAATAACAAATATAGCTGAAGATGGGCAGCAGATAAAAGGTGGTGGATAGGTTGGTGGGTGGGAAGGAGATAAGGAAGCAGGGAGAGGTGAGGAGGTGGGAGTTGCCAGGAGGAGAGAAAGAGGAAATAGTGAGATTCCATGTTGTGCAACTGGGCTTGGCCCAGCAGCAAGTGCTGCACAACTGGATCATAGTTTTCCCAGGCAGAAGCTGATGGGGGAGTTGGAGATGAGGGGTCAATAAAGGTAGGCTTGGCTGGTGGGTGGTAAGGACAGACAGAAGCATAAAGGTGGGGAGAAACTATGGGGGTTTTCAGGGAAGGGAAAGACGAAGGGGAGGAGGAAATGAAATGCTCTCCACGTCCTTGTGGGAGTCCCTTCTCGTGCTATATACAACACTGTCCAGGAAAAACAAAATATTAGCTGGTTCAGTATTAACTGATGAGATTCTTGCATTTGGGGGGGAGCAGTCTGGAATTACTCAAAAAGTATAGTACATGGAAAATGAGTCCCAATTCAGAAAGTTTTAAGAACAGCTACTTGATCCTGTGAGCCTGTCTTACTTTAACTCTAATTCCAATGATCCAGCAGTGTCTACTCAAGATTTACTAAGCAAGAGTGCAAATGCAAGATCTCATAATATTCAAAGTTATGTTTGGTGAATCTGAGCACAGAGTTTAATTTAAGGAGAATATAGAGTGTACTGATGAATCAAGCTAAGGTACGCCTTGTTCAGCATTTTCTGCAAAGATTTTGAAAGGTCGATTAGAAACTGACCAGCGGTCTCCCAGGGAACCACAGTCTCTTTCCTACCTTTGATCTACAGTGTTTACGGTGCAGTCCTAAGCAGAGTTGCACCCTTCTAAGTCCACTGAAATCCACGGGCTCAGAAGGGTATAACTCTGCTTAAGATGGCACTGGGAGTCGTTGCCAAAGGTGATCAGAGGAATGCTTGGATTCCTCTGAAGCTCCCCATTCTTTTTCATAAAGTGTGACTGTGTCCCCTCATCTACCATCTTCATTTGCTCATAAGCTGGAAGTGGCTAGAGGAGCAGGGAGAGAGCACAGCTGTTTTATCACTGCTGTTTGTATAATATTGCAGAAACTCTTGTCTCATCGCACATAATTGCATCTTTCTTTTTAGCTATAGAATACAGTGATGAAAGTTTGAACGATGCCAAGAATATCCTTCAGACCATTACTTCTTTTATGAGCAGTGCAACTGCCTACATGAAAGGGCAGCTCACCTGCGATGCCGTTAGGGAAGATGTGTTGTGGGAAAGGTGAGTGTGAGGGCCTGTTTTGATCATTGATAGGTGTGTGTGGTTTTCCTAGTCCGCACGTGGAGAAGGAAAAAGTAGAAGACGCCTGAAATGCTACAGTGGGCCCAACTACTTCACATTTTGTATGTGGGTGGGGGGGGGGAGCTGTTCCAATTTTTAAAAATGTTCTGGCCTCCCTTTAAAGAAATCCCTAAGTAAGAAAAAATCTAGCACATCAGGGTGAGTGGTTTTATTTATTTATTATTTTTGTTTATTAAATTTATACCCTTCCCTACCCCAAAAATGGGCTCAGGGCAGCTCACAACATAAAAACAACAGCAATAAAAACAGTAAAACAATAAATAACCATAGCCAGGTTCTAACCTAGTCCACTCCCTGCATGCTGGTTTTCTGCTTGCAGGAATTTTTAATAGAGAGGAACTCTACCTGCAGTCTGAAGTAGCAGAGACGATTCTACGGCCTCATTCTCCTACACTTTTAGACCACTACAGAATATTCATGAAAGTGAATGTCTGAATTCTGATGAGTGCAGACATTTAATATTGTTTGTGTGTGCTGCTTGTGTGAATTCATCCTTGAGATCCAGAGCACAAACTTTTGTGGCTTCTGTAATGGATTTGGATAGATGAATGAAGGCTTGGTTTTTGTGCCATTCGAAAGGAAATCTCCAGGAAGAAACCTGGGATGAGCCACAGTTGGTCCCAGCTCAGGTCTGCCTACTGTTTATGTTTCCCCTGACTGCTGCATTCACACTACACGTTCTGGTGTATATCTGAAATATAGCGTACCTTTTTGCCAGGGCATCTAACAAAGGCAAGCAGTGCAATTTTATCTTGTTCCTTTCCAGTGCTGTCTTTTGGCTAACTGTATCTAACTGAATGAATTTCAGTGGTTAAAAATTTAAACCTGCATATATTTGCATATGAATTAGCCAGTAGTTCTGGGAACAGGCCACTTTATTATGAGATGGTGCTCTTGTGTGTCCTTGCAGGCTCTGTTTAAGGAGAGGCATTCCCTCCCGTGTAAGGGAAGAGGAGGAATGCCTCTTCTAAGCGGGCTCCTACTGCTCATGGATTTGTTAAATTGACTTCTATTAGAAATAATCAGTGGCACTTTTTAATTGATGAAAAGATGTTGCGGTTCTAGTTTTAACCTATTCTGTCACTCTGATACGCTAACACATGTGTCTTACTGGGTTGTCTCGCCTTTGTTGATTGGCATACCCTGTTCTGTTTTTTTGTGTGGTTTTTTTGTAGTTTTCTCTGTTTTCTTAATTGCTTGTACAGAGCCTAGTCTGAATGAGATCCAGTCATCTATCGCTTCTACGGATGCGTTATACAGTCATGAATCAAAATCAGTTCAGATACATTATGAAAAAGAGCCATATTTTCCAGAACATCAGCTTCTGATTGTTCATAATTCTTTTCCCAATAATGTGTAAATCTCTGGTATTCTTCAAGATATAGATTTATAGGTCTTCTTCCCCAAAATATACTATGTTATCTTAAAAAAATGTGAATGTATTCTGTATTAATCAAAATTTGATAGTAGGTATTACATTTGTTCTCTAGTTATTTGCAGTTGTCATGTGTGTGGAGGATAGCAGATTAAATGTCTGGTGTGTTGAATCTTTGTTCCCTGTCATGGTAGGTATTTGAATAATACAGCTATAAGATCTGTTGATGTTCATTAATACGGATGGGCACGAACCGGGAAAATGGAGGTTCGTGGGGTCTCACGAACCTCCCCATTTAATGAACTGGCTTGTGAGGTTCAGGGGGGGGGAGATCTGAGATCTCCCTCCTGTCTTCCCTCCCTCCTTTCTGCTGGCGGTGACTCCCCGAGGCCAGCAGAATGGAAGGGGGGGGAGAGATCTTGCAAAAGCCTTTAAAGAGAGTGTTCCCTTTAAATGACTTGCATCTATTTCAGCTAAATGGGTGCAAGTCATTTCAGCGATTATTCTTGCTTCCCACCACAAACCCCCGAAATCACGTGGAGGGTCATGGATAGGGATGGACGTGAACTTCTGGTTCGTGACCTGCAAACTAGCAATGTTCATCATGAAATTAGGTTTGTGACGAGGTTCATGCCCATCACTTAATCCCTGCCCCAAAATTTGTGAATGGGGGAGTGTGACAGGCCTTTTCAACCAAGCAAGGGGACCCACACAGCCTTTTATGACTTTGGTGAACCAGGTTTGTTTTACACTATAAACCTTCCCTCAGTTATAAGATGTTATTAGGGTAGCAAGTGTAAAGGTTTTGGGTCTGCTGCTGTAAGGTAAGTTTTGTGACGAGCACGTAGAACACAGAAATCACTGAGGCAGGAGTTGTATGCCAATAACAAAGAAGACTTAATTATTTACCAGTGGTCTTTAAAGAACAGATCAGCAGCACAGGTATCTGGACAGACAAAGAAGAAACCTGATTGAATCCTGCGCGTGGAGGCCTGTTTGTACCTGAAAACATTAAAGAGAATTCAGACCCTACTCTGAAGCTAGTCATGGCTTCAGAGTAGGGTCTGAATTCTCTTTAATGCTTTCAGGTACAAACAGGCTTCCACGCACAGGATTCAATCCAAACCAGCCTGCCCTTTCTAGAGAGTCAGACAAAATGTTATGAGGTCTGCTCATCACCAGAGAGAAGCTTAACAATTGGGTACTCTTATTCTTTCCCAGAGGTAGTGCTAAACCATTCTGCCACTCTATCTGGCAAAGCTTCCCTTCAACTTGCCTGCTCTCTTCTTGAGACAGATCCAAACTGTGACTGCACTCTGCTTGAGGCAGACCTGAACTAAGCTCCTGCTGTGCTTCCCCCTAATATTCCATTGCCACCCTCTGAAAGGTGATTGGATGCTGGCGCAGCACTCCCATAGGCTCAGGGATGAAACTGCTGAATGGTTGTTTTTACCTTCAGGGGCAGGACAGCTTCCTGTCCGTCACAGAAGGAGGATCTGTTCAAGAAATATATACATTCAAGTGGAGACCCACAAGAAGCTTGTGGGTAGGGGGCATTCCCCTGCCTTTGTTTCCTTCCCTCTCCCGCCTTCTTTGTCACAGTTCCCTCTTGTCTCTTTCTGCACCTACCCCTTATCTATCAATCTCCCCTCACCCCCCTCTATGTTGGTTTTCCCCATTTCTCCTGCCACCCTCTTCTCTAGCAATCCCCTTTTACCCTCCTTTGTCTCCTCACCTCTTGTATACCAATCTCCCCCTTCTCCCCCTTTTCTCCTCACCCCATTGTATGTCAGTCTCCCCCTTCCCACCTCAGCCCTTCTCAGACAATGTCCCCCTCTCTCCCCCCCTTCTCAATCTGCCCCTTTCTCTCCACCCCCTGTTTCTCTCCCCTCTCCCTCAATCACTCGTGGGCACTCCATGAAACTGCAGAGCGGTCGGGTTAGAACGGATAAAAGGAAGTACTTCTTCACCCAAAGAGTGATTAACACATGGAATTCACTGCCACAGGAAGTGGTGGGTGCTACAAGCATGGACGGCTTCAAAAGGGAATTAGATAAGCATATGGAGCAGAGGTCCATCAGTGGCTATTAGCCACAAGGTATAGCTAGGGGCTCTGGGGCAAGTGATGCTCTGTCTTCTTGGTGCTTGGGGGGGGGGTCAACAGTGGGAGGGCTTCTAATGTCCTGGCCCCACTGCTGGACCTCCTGATGGCACTGGTATTTCTGGCCACTGTGTGACACAGAGTGTTGGACTGGATGGGCCTTTGGCCTGATCCAACATTGGCGTCTCTTATGTTCTTATGTTCTTATCACCTTTCTTTCTGGCCTTCTCCGCACTCTCCTTTTAATCCATGTTCACTGCGGTGTCCTCCAAGCAATTCTGCATTAAAATTGAGTTCAGCCTTCTTTTTATTCTGCCCCCCCCGCCCCCCATTCTGCATTACGTTACTTCCTTTGATGGTTGGTCCAGTTCCAGCCTGCTGTTGCCCTGGGTTTTTTGGATGGCCTCCCCTCGAACACTGAGTGGCAGGCAAATGGGGAAAGGACCTCTGTTTCTCCCCCCTCCCTCAATCAGCCTTTCTTTCTCTATCTCTCCCCCTGCCTCATCAGCCTTTCTTTTCCTCTCTCTCCCCCTGCCTCATGCAATCCCCCTTCTTTCTCTCCCCAACCCCTTAGGCAATCCCCCCCCTTCTCTCTCTTTCTCTCCCCCCCCAGGCAATTTTTGGGTTAAATGTAAAAAAATAAATAAAATCATTTGACTTGGAAGCACAGAAGCTTTACGCAGAACGTCGATCCTCCATGTTCCCCGGTTGAGGGGGAAATGCTGTTCAAACAAATTACAAAGATGATCTGACTCCAGTGGTAACAGAAATAAATTGTACTTACAAAAATAGAAGCATACCTTGCATGTCATATTCGTGAAGGTACATTTAACTTATTGTGAACAGCTTAACGTCAACGGCCATGTTTACCTGAGTGGGAGAATTCTCTTAACCCTTTCCCTCCCGGATCCTCTTGCATGCAGAGTTACAATATCCAACAACCATCTCCCCCTTCTTCCTTCCCCCTACTTTGGGAGTCGTTGCGGCAGGGGTCCCAGGAGCTGCTGTGGCCTGCTTCATAATACCCTTTTTGTTTGTGATTGTATTGAGCCCTGAGCTCTATGGAGAATGGGCAGGGTAAAAGTGTGATATAGTTACAGTAGCATATTTTCAGTGCGGGAAAGGCTCGCTTGGATCTTGCCTAGGCTGCCAGCTCCTTCCACAGCAGCCCAAAATGCACCCAGAACTGATGCTCTTGGAGAATGGCAGGAATAGCTTGGGGGAGGGATCTAAGGTCTCCTGTGTGTGTGTGTGTGGGATTGGCAAATATCACCCCTCCTCCTCCTGCCTGCAGACGTCTAGGCAGGATGCAAACCACTCTGGGGTCTGAACCCACAAGTGGTTTTCAAACAATGTCTCTCGGACACTCCGTCCTCAGACTTGCTCCTTCACTTGTGTTAACTAAAAAGATAGGGGGGGGGGTGCAGTATGATATGAATACAAATAGAGTAGAACTACTGCAAACTGTGCATATTTCAAACTTGTATTAAATGCAATAACTATGTATCAAACTATATTTTTTACAGAAAACTGAAGCCAATGTTTATAAATGATGATGGATGGATGACGAACTCCCCCGGAGTTGATATTCGTTTCGAGGCGTCTTTTTCAAACATCAAACCTCATGCAAGTGTGTCTCCACAAGGTCACAAGTCTTCCAAATTGGATTTCTCCTTAATTCCTGTACATTTTGGTGTTATTCATAAGATGTTCTCAATCACAATATCAAATATGGGCTGATCAGGAATTAAGGAGAAATCCAATTTGGAAGACTTGTGACCTTGTGGAGACACACTTGCATGAGGTTTGATGTTTGAAAAAGACGCCTCGAAACGAATATCAACTCCGGGGGAGGTCGTCATCCACCCTCACTTGTGTTAAGCTGACCAGAATTCACCCAGTGGGTTTCATAGTGGAGTGGGGGAACTGACCGATGGTTTCCTCAGTCCCAATCCGACACTCTAACCATGACAGCACACTAGTTGAGCTTTCTCTCCCCCCCCCGCCCCGTGGTGAACCAAACTTCAGTGATTGTCACCGTCAGCTTAATGGCTAACAGCGAATACATGTGCGGTCTTGTTAAAGCTTCCATCTTGCAATAGCGGCACACCTTTTAGCAGGAACCAGGCTGCCTCGCAAGAGGCCTCTGCCTCTAAGCTGAAACCGTCCCACAGTTCAAGCAGGAAACCTGGCAAGGCTCTGATGGATGGGATTCTGCCCTTGGAATGTTTCTCTCAATAATATGTTAAAAGAAAGGGGGAGACGGGACAGGAGGGGATAGTAAAGCACTGCCTGGAGTTCGTTGCCTAGCTGAAGAATGTGTGTACTACATAGATCGAGATGGGTAGCCGTGTTGGCAGCAGCAGAAAAGAGCGAGAGTCCGGCAGCACTTTATAGACTAACAAAATATGTGGCAGGGTATGAGTTTTCTTGAGTCACTGCTCACTTCTTCAGATAAAGCTAGAATGGGAGTCCGTCTGTCCTGTTTATTGTATTACATAGGGGAGTTATTTGCATTTCAAGTTTCTCAAATACTGCCACTGATTTGTCTTTGGAGGAATAATGCACAGTTTGCACAGTAGGATTTTTTTAAAAGGGGGAATAGGTAAATTGCATTTCAGATTACTTTAATTTTTTTTAAATCCCTAGTCTACGACCATATAGCAGTTTCTCAGTGATAACATGTACTGAAACTAACTGTAATTTAAGAAGTGGCTTTCCTCCATCTAAAAATCATGGGCATGACAGTGTGTGTTAAGTACTTTTATACCCCTGGGGGAAAAGTTTAAGCCTGTGTTTTAACTCTCCCCGAGTGAAAGCAGTGATAAAGTGTTTTAACATTAGCTGGATCATGCCACAGGTCACTAAGAAATGCACCCTTGCTTCTATCAAAAACTCAGTTTGGAGAGCTGTTTGGTGTAAAGCTGTAATATTAATGACTTTTATTTGCTTCCTTCTTATCTAAGGTTGTCCCACACTAAAGCAATGGTGAAAGCTTCGTGTGCTGATGACTTTGACACCCCCAGGGCTGTTGGTGCAATTATGGACCTCATTCACCATGGCAACAGACAGCTTAAGGCCGTCACTAAGGTAACCCATTAGGATACAAAGATCAGGAACCAACAGTTGTCTGTAGCTCAGTACTGACAGATTGGTTTATTATGAGAAACCAGCTGGGGGGGGAAAGCAAATGGCTCCCCCCTTCCCTTCATGGTTGAATAGTTATCCAAACTGCATTTCTAGAAAGCTAAAAAACTCTCCTTTGTTGGAGAGTTTTACCGTTGATGTTCTGTATTCTTGCGAAAAGGTGCCTCTTCCTCCGCTCTTGACACTATTCCACAGGAGTTTGCTCTTATTCCCAATCCATTGTATTCCTTTATTTTCTTCATTATCTTCCCATCTTTTTTCCAAATGCTGGGTTTTATCATAATTTTTTTCCCAACAATGAAAAATGAGGAAAATTCTTCACCTAGTGTCACCCAAATACTGCAGTAATAAAAGCTGAATTCTAAAATTAAGAAAATCGAGCCGTTTGCTTCTTAGACTGCAATCCTGGGCATGCTTACTTGGGAGAAAGTCCCACTGAACACAGTGTATTTACTCCTAAGTAGGCATGCAAAGTATCAGGCTGTCAGCTGTTTTTTCATAGAGAGCCAGTTTGGTATAGTGGTTAGGAGTGCGGTTTGATTCCCCACTCCTCCACATGAAGTCAGCTGGGTGACCTTGGGTCAGTCATAAGTTCTTTCAGAGCTGTTCTCTCAAGGGCAGACACAGAGTGTCTGTTGTGGGGAGGGGAAGGGATTGTAAGCTGCCCTGAGACTCCTTCGTGTAGTGAAGGTGGGGTATGAATCCAGTCCCCTCCCCTTCTTCTCCTCCTCCTCCCTCTTCACCTCCTCTGACTTGTCATGCAGAGGGGGACGGATACCTTGCAGTCCTCTTCTCTTGCCAATAGCAATCTTTGTCCTCCCCTCTGGTTTCTAAGGGCCAAATTAGGCAGTATAGCTGACATGAGTTCCCAACCCATTTTACAGACAGATGTAATTTTAGGGAACTAATGTTCCCAAGCTCTCCAGGGCCCTATTTGGCTTGGGAATGTTACTGGGGAAGTCGGCTTTCCCCACCACAATAATTTCTGTTCAGGAAAATGTCAGGTGTGTGTGTGTGTGTGTGTAGTCCTGCTAGGTCCTGAGTTGAATCTGGTGCCATATTGCTTGGAGAAGTTAGGTCCCCAACATGATGTCTGTCCATAAAATGGGTCAGGGAGTTCTGGCCTGGCCTGGCCTGTGGCAGACATAATGTCTAGTTTTGCCATAGTGCTTCATGCTTTTGTGTTTCTCTTTGCTGCCATAGAAGCTAGACTAGTGCGTGAATTTTTAAACCCCCCCCCCAAAAAAAACAACAACAGTGGACCATTGATTGGATAAGGTGGGATATAATTTCAAATATAAATAAATAAATTTAAAAAAATAGTACAAGCTCATATCAAATTGGGCTGTTGTAAAAAACAACAACACAACCCACAGAATATTTAATGGTATGCACTCATCCTCACGTGCATAGTACACATGCTCATTTTTGTAGCTTTCCATTACTGGAGAACTAAAATGATGCATTTGGCAGAAGCTGCATGTAGTGAAAGCCTAGACATTTTTGAGCTTTGGTTTTTGATTTCTGTTACTAGCAGATTCCTGGTTTCTCCTTTATCTCTGCCTTATACCCCGCTGAGTATATTCTGTACCCTTAAAAATGTCTTGGTGTTGCTTTGCAGCCAGTGACCGTAATTGGGAATTTTTTCACTGGGTGGAAGAACAGAGTTTAGAAAAGGTTTCAGATTGTGAGATCCCTGCAGAGCTGCCTTCTGCAACTGGAGAACTGTTCATTTCCCTCTTTTGTCCAAGTGCAGAACTGTCGATTACTGTAGTGAACAGTTACAGTCATGTTGTCTTTTTTGTTGTGGTTTGAAATCAGGAAGCTGGGTCTCCTAGAAGTGCTGTGGTGTTTGGAGCCATCATCTCCTATATACAGGAATTTCTGAACACAACTGGAATCAGCCTTGATGATAGACAGGTAGGAGATTATTGTAAGGATGTGTTGTAAATGGGGACTCAGAAGTCTGATTGTGTGGCCCTGTGGCAGCTAACTAGCTTTTGTACTGAGTAAAAGCTATGCCCGAGCGAGTCTCCTTTTGTCACCAAGGGAGAACTGGGCATACGAAGCTTGTTCCTTGGCCTGTGGTGTCCTCCTCTTACTGGTGACAGCTCTCTGAAGTTCTTCTCCAGAAACCTGGGATTCATTTTGAATGCAGCTGCTGGGGATTGAACCTGGGACCTTCTCCATGCAAAGCATGTGCTCTGCCAGCAAACTGTGGCCTGTCCTTCTTAGTGCTGCCTTGGTTGCTTAGGGCTGTGCTATGACTCTTTCGTTCTGCCTTCTAGCTTAGAACAGCTGTTTCGGGGTTCCCTGCTCTTGTCTTATGCAGAGAAATATAATAATTACAGCAGGGGTTCCCCATTACTTGCTCTGCCGGATTGCTTTCCTTGGAGGAATTTTGTTACCTTTGAGAAGGACCTCCATTGCCATTGGGAAGAGACTGCCCCATTGCACTCATGCTGTAATGGATGTGTGTGTGTTTTATAGTCTACTCGATTTCCATTTTTAATAGGTTGCTCTAGAACGCAGGCATTCAGCCATGCTCTCCAGTGTGATAGACGAGCTAGTGAGCTTCCGGATCCAAGTGCGTGATTTTGCTCTTACTACACCTGAAACGACAAGCGTGCCTGCTGAAGGCACCATCCTGTCCAAAGAAGCAAAACAGCAGCAGAAGGAGAAAAGGCGCCAGCTGTTACAGGAGAGAGAACCTCTTCTGCAAGCATGTGACCGCCTGCGCCAAGACCTAGCTGTATATGGTATCAACATAAAGGTTCGCACTCTTTACCCAACCTTGAATCCTAGCTGTAGTTTTAATATAATCACCTCTGTGGGTTGTGGGTAAGGGTTTTAAATTTTACCTTTTCTGCACCCAGCTAAGGAAAAGTAAGGCGGATTTTTTGCCTTTTGCACCCTAAGTGATTACAGTGGGTTTGAACTTGCATTGTAACATTTGATTGAAGCATGCCGGCTCTCAGTTCTGTTTTTGCAGCACTTGAAGACCCTTTGATGTTCAGAAGTCCCATTAGGAGGTTGCATACTCCTAAGTACCCCTTTAGATACATTAGGGAAGGTAAAGAAGGTGGTGCTGAATTGAGCACCAGTACCTCTGCAAGTTATTTGCCTCGCATGTAATAACATCAAAGAATAAGAAAAGACTTGCAGGCAATTTTCATTATCCCCTTGTGCAGGCTGGCTTTCTAAAACTTTATTAACTGCAACCACAGTGGATGTTAAACATCTCCAAAGACACCTGATTAATTTTCTTATGTAGAAAGCAGTTGAAGCACCAAAACCAAGGTGATCTGGGTCTTAGAGACATGGAATTGGCCCTCCAGCCATACATACACTGACTTAGAAGCGAGTCCTCTTGAATTCACTAGGAATTGCTTCGGAGTACGTGTGTATCAGAATGGGTTTAGGTCTTCCAACTCTGAACTGTAGAACATAAAGAAAGTGTAAACATTTGTTGTTCGTTTGTGTGTGCACAGGACAGAAGTATGACTTCTACGTGGGAACTTGGAGAGCCCATTAAAGAACTGGAGAAGAGTTGATGCAAATATGGAGTGCAACTGGATTGAAATACTGTGGGGATAGCAAGCGGTTCAAAATACCTATGCCTTGAATTAGTACACTTCCCTATCAAGGTGGCCTCAGTGCTTTTCACATTCTACACTTTAAATTTAAAAACTGTATGCTTTTGTCCATTCTCTGAAAAGACTGGTGCTTTTTGGAGCACACTACAGATCCATTGCCCATGGTTGTGGGTCTTCCTGCTTTTGAAATCTTTCAAACCTCTTCTCATTACTATCAGTGTTGGAGCTAAGCTGCTTCATCAGGGATCTCTTGAAAAATAAACCTCTCTGGGGGAATTATCATCACCAGGTTAAGAGAGGCCAGTGGTAAGTTACTTATGTTCATATTAGCCCCATAAAAGAAAGTTTGGTAAAATCTAGATTCCAGAGAGCTGTGATTTACTTTAATATGACCAGAACCCCCAGAGGTTGGTAACAAGACGATGAATCCTATAGCCTTCTATGCACGAAGACATATGTGTTCATGAGTCTCATTACAGATATTCCATAATCTTCTCAAATATTCCATACATACAGCAAAAAGGAGTTCCAAACAAGCTGGAAGACTGCTTAAAAGAAGCAACAAACCAATGAGGGAGAGCACTTGTAACCACCAGAGAGAGAGAGAGCTTGAAATCTTATCTGCAAATATTGTTAGCATTTAAATAATTCACCTTTCATTCTTCATCAGAGTATCATTGGGAGCTGAAGGGATCCCTACCCCATAGCCCAGAACGTAAACAGCAGGATTTCAGGGCGGCGGGGGGGGGAGGATACTGATGGACTTGATCTAACTGGAAGTCAAAAACGTGTCAGGTTTTTAATGGGGCATGGGGGACTGATATTAATTCAGACACCAGCTGCTATGTTTAAAATCTTTCTCCCCCTCCCCCCCTTTCAACTACAAAGGCTGTGTGGATGTCCAGCGACCTACTGTACTGCATAGGTGGTGAGAGGAGGAGAGTCAGCGGCCAAGGATCCGGACACCTTTTGCTAGCAAAGGCGGGAGAAGAAACACGATCTTCCCACTCCAAAACATTCAGCATGATTCACTGCACAAGCTGTTCAGATGAAAAGTGCCAACGGTAGACTGGGAAAGTCCAGGATACTTATAAAGATGTGAAGCCAAGAATGTTTTGGATGTGTTCTACTGTGAGAGGAGACAAAATTCAACACAGATGCTATTTGTATGAAAGTCTTGCTCACAAAGTTGCAGACTGTCATTAACCTGTACATCATTAAATAGCTGCCACTGTCCCCCCCCCTTTTGTAAGGCTGTTTTTGACTTTGATGAAATTCAGCATGTGACGTGTAACTTGGAAGAACTGATTTCCTTGACTTTACACACAAAAACACGACAATTGCGTCATTTGCCAGATTTTTATTTCCTCTAAAACTGCTACATCTTCAGATTGTTTCAGTCGTAAAACCTTTATACACTGATAAGCAACATATTTGCAACTTCTGTAATACAATTAAAACAGGCAGGTTCAACTCTACTGGCTGTTCAGATACCAGTTTGACAAATTTAAGGTCGTATATGGTTTCCCTGCAGATATAATTCTAAAGTCTCCTCTATGTACGGTCAGCTCAATTTTGAATGACAGTGGCCATTTTCACATTGCATTGTAGTGCTGGCAAATGGGGCACAAGTTTTGTTCAACTATTTAAAACACAGGCCATATGGTTTCCCCTTACTACACAAAGGGAGGGGGGTTGTCTCTGCATGGGAAGGCTGGATGGGGGCAAGGGTGGTGCAACAAGGTCAGCCATTTAGGAGCCTGTGCATGCTGCATGGGAAATGGGGTACGCCTGTGGTGGGAAGGGGTCATGCCCTGGGGTATACATCCTGCCACAAAGGTGATTCCTGTGTTCAGAAAGAGCACATTGTACCTATCCATGATCTGTACCACCAGAAAAAGGAAGGTAAGGATGTGTTCTATTGTGAGACAACCTACCCCCCCTACCTCCAATGATTGCTAGTCGGTACCAGTGTTCCCTCTAAGCTGAGTTAGTGTGAGCTGGCTCACAGTTTTTTAGCCTCCGGCTCACACATTTTTGTCTTTGCTCGGGAAGGATGGGCTCCAGAGCAAACTAATTTATGCAGTCTCCAAATTGCTCGCTCAACTTTAATGCCAGTAGCTCACAAAGTAGAATTTTTGCTCACAAGACTCCATGGCTTAGAGGGAGCATTGGTCGGTACCATGCCGTGTCCTTTTTTTGAGGGAACATTTTAATTGGTGCTCTGAACGTTGATGGAAGTAAACAGTGGGAAACGCTTTCTATAAAAACGAACGTGTTCTGAGGTAGTAGTTACAGTGCATCCAAAATATTAGTTGTAAGCACAAAGAAACTGGTGCAGAGCCCAACCACTCTCAGCTGTAGCAGATCCGAAAAAGAGGATACAACTGTCTCCTCTATGCAGCTGGGAATGCTGGTTTAGAGCTAGATTGTAGACAAGAGCTTGTAATCCTGTGCACGCCCACTTTGGATTCAGAGGGGCTCGCTTCTGAGTAAACATGCATAGGATTGAGTTGCAAGTCATTCAAGAAAAAAAAAGTATTCTACCATGTGAAATTTCTTCTGTGGAAATAGTGCATAGATCCTACAAAATTAAGTTTATACCTAAACCCCTTAGTAGCTAAAACTAGTAAAAATACACCTAGAGCAGCTGTTGTACTTCCTTGGATGCTTGTGCTGTCTTTGTATATAAAGATATTCAAAGCCATTATGTTAAGGAAAAGTTGATACAGCAAATCTTTGAACAACCTACTCTCAACCCTGTTCTCTGAGAGGGGGCTGTTTAGTAATGTTACATGACTTAAGGCAGCCTTTTGCCTTTCAGTCTCCAGTTAGTCTATGCTGGTGATTTAAAAAACAACCTACATGTGTGTCATCGAAGCCAAGAACAAGACTTTATGCTAGCATGAAAAGCACATTCCATCAACAACCTCTCCTGTGCACAGGCGCTGTTCATGGTAGATTGTTTCCTAAGCCATTAAAAAAAAAAAAACAACCCTGAATCTTTTGATCAGTGTGTGCCTAGTTTATCTACATGGTGTGCAAATGATTTGGTTTCATGTTCTAAACAAGCCCTGAACAGTAGATGATGCTTTAATACATTCTTCAGCTAAATAAATACTACTTTGCATGCCAAGTTCTACAGCTTCCTGTACTGTTAAAAGGACAAAAAAAGATTGCTGATGCCCATCCCTTCTCTCTCCCCACTGCATCCCCAAAACAGGGAATTAGACTTCTGTGCCAAGGATTTGGTGATGGCAACTGGCATGCATTCCCTGCCCGGAGACAGCAAATTTCTGAAAGCAAGGACAATCTCTTTGCAGAATTAAAACCTGGTAGGGAGTTCTAAGAACAAAATAGAGATGGCATCGGCGCAAACTAAGCTGAGCTGATGGACAGATATGATGACACATTCCAGCCACAGTTAAGGTCTTTTAAATCCCATTTATTTCAGTGAGTGACAATGCAATCCTAAACAGAAGTGCAACTTCCCAGATCCCTTGAAGGACTGGATTTAGAAAGCTGTAAAACTTTAGGATTGCAGTATCAAATGCTTATTTTTCTTACAGTTGGCTGGATTATACCCTTTTATCATGTATCAGGTGCCTTTTTTTGCTGCTAGCAGACAATTATTGCTCAATAACTATGAAATAGAACGGAGGAAATACTTTCAGTTTTGTTTTATTATATTATAACTTCTGTAACTACAGCTTATTCAGCTGAAAAAAAACACCACCTGTAGTCCAAACTCTTTAAAAAATATCTACAATTTTCCTATCTTTAAAAATAAAAAAACTACTTAGTATACCAATATTGCTAACAGCACTTGAAAAGGGTTCATTCCGCACGGATGTCCAAGCATAGTTTCCATGACTGCCAACGCTGTGTGTTCCTCCTCTGTTGCTTTGGTTTTAGGTTTCAAAGAGTTTATTAAAGGCTGCTCCAATTTCTAAAACCATGTCAGAGGCTGTCATAGACCGTCCAAATTTCTGGAAGGCTTGGTTGTTGCACTGCCTTGTAAGTGAACATGCTCCAAATGCAGCCACTAGAAAAGGATTTTGACTAGAAAACAAATACAAGAATCTCAATTAAAACATGTGCATGCACCCCCACACAGACGCAATTTTGCAGGAGTTCTGAAACCCCTAAATGATCCAGCCATTCACTGTATGATGATTACCTCTCACTTCGCATTACTTAATTTCTGACTTCTGTGGATGACTGATCGGAATGTTACTTGGCATTTTTTGGGGCTATCCAATTATTAGAAGAGAAGAGATTGGATTTATAGCCCGCCCTTCACTACCCAAAGGTGTCTCAGAGCGGCTTACAAACTCCTTTCCCTTCCCCTCCCCACAACAGACACCCTGTGAGGTAGCTGGGGCTGAGAGAGCGCTTGACAGAAACTGCTCTTTTGCAAGAACAGCTCTTATCTTTAAAAACCATCTGATGACCGATCTCCCAGGATCTCAACTGATGGCCATATGGAATCTGTAGGGTTGCCAGCTCTGGACTGGGAAATACCTTTTTTTTTTTTCCCCCCCCCCCCCCCCGGTAGTGAAGTGTTGTTTTTGGCAGCCTGTTTCTTTAATGACACCGCCATATCTAAGAGAGAACAGAGAAGCACCTTACCCATTTGTTTTTTCTGGTCCAGCAAGGAAGGCCCAGTGTGTTAGGACTCCAAGAGACCCTGAGAGGAGATCCCCTTGCCCACCACACCTTCTGCTGCTTCCTTCATGGCTACATACAAGCACTAGGGGACAAAATAGTTCAATATACTTGAGCTTTTTAACAAAATAGTTTGTGGGAGAGAAGAGAAGCTCAAGAAATGCAGACACACAACAACACTCTCTTTTGAAAAGATGTCAGCCATAAGAGACCTAAAGCAACAAGGTTTCAGTTATTTCATTTGTTTCCATTGTGAAAAGTTTACTTCCCAACCAATAGGTTTGTGTTCAGTTTCCTAACCTGGGACAATACATATCTTTTTTGTTTTAGTACAACACTTCTAGCAGATTGTTTCTTTGGTGTGGGTGAAAGTAACTCAAAATAACATGACTCTTCTGGAGAAGGGCTATGGAAAATTTAATGGCTCATCTGTGCAGGCAGCAAACAATGCAATCCTAGGCGAAGTTACACCCCTTTCAAGCCCACAGAAAAAAAATTACACTGCTGTGTCAGAAGAACACCTTAAGTAAGGCATGTGCCATTTTCCTTATTAATATGAACTCTGATCTGCAAGGTTTTTCTTCTTAGACTTGTACAACTTTTACTATAGTTTTCCAACACTTCCTGTGCTTTATACATGATCACTAGGGTTAAGGAGTAAGCCAACTGACATTAAACAGATGCTTAACTGGGCAAGTACAAGCTCTCCCTCTGTGAGGGCAAATCTGCACATCCCCCCCCCATAGCTAGCAATTCAAAAGAGTCCAGTGGCACCTTTAAGTTCTCCCTCCTCTGCAAGGACAGATCTGCACATCCCCCTCCCCCCCAATAGCTAGCAATCCAAAACAGTCCAGTGCAATGTTCCCTCTAAGCCGTGGAGCCTTGTGAGCAAAAATTCTACTTCATGAGCTGCCGACATTAAAGTTGTGAGCAAGCGATTTGGCTGCTGCATAAATGAGTTGGCTCTGGAGCTGTCCTTCCTGAGCTGAGACAAAAATGTGTGAGCCAGAGGCCAAAAAACTGTGAGCTAGCTCACACTAACTCAGCTTAGAGGGAACACTGGTCCAGTGGAGCCTGAGCGGTGGGTGTTGCCTTCTGACACACTTCCGGTGATGTCAGGGGGTGTGGCAAATGCAAATAAGTTATGCCAATAAGATGTGCTAATGAGCTCCTGCACCTCTTTTTCTACGAAATGACCCCTGCTTACCACCTCTCCCCATTCCAAGTGTCTAACTGTATCTCTCCTGTATCTAGCCAAGTTTGTCCCAACATTGTTTTTCAAAAGAGAAGTTGCTGTAGTAACTTAAAGACTAATTGGTCAATCCTGACAAGAGACTTCATGGACAATAGTTTATATCAAACACAACTCTGAAAGCACCCTCTATTTTGCTACTGCATACTAACTGCCAATAGTTACCTTTAGAAATTTTTCTTACATAATTACCCCATAATTTCTGCAAATCTAAAATATGATCACTTAGACAAAAGTTCTTAAAGTCTCAAAATTACAACTGAAAAGATTTTTATTCATGCTTGATTTTAAAACAGCTGCAGTACCTTTTTTTTCTGTGGTAATTCACCATGAAATATTTTACCCTGCTGAATAATAAAGGTCATTTTAACAGACATTTAAAATCATTTTGATCAACTAACCAATTCTAACCAGTTGAAAATATTCCCCTATTTTTAAAAAGAAGAGGAGGTTGGATTTATACTCCACCCTTCACTACCCGAAGGAGTCTCAGAGCGGCTTACAATCCCTTTCCCTTCCCCTCCCCACAACAAGATACCCTGTGAGGTAAGTGAGGCTAAGAGAGCTCTCTCAAGAACTGCCCTTGAGAAAACAGCTCTGAAAAAACTTGTAACTGACCCAAGGTCACACCAGCAGCTGCATGTAGAGGAGTGGGGAATCAAACCTGGTTCTTCTAGATTAGAGACCGCACTCCTAACCACTACACCAAACTGGCTTCTAATAATGCTACTCTTTATAATCTCCAATATATCTTGAATATCTTCATAGCAACTATCCATTTTGAAACCAAACTTCTGTCATAAATATATTTGCTGAGTCTCTTCTTTAAACTGCAATGTCTTACCTTTTTCTCCATCTGAAATAAGATCTCGCTCTCCTTTCTGAACAATTGTCAAATTTCCCAAAGCTTGGCTGAGTCTTAGCACACACCCATGATGATCATTACTGTCTACGGGGTCTCTAAGCTAAGACAGAAAAAATGTGGAATTAAAGATGTAATTCAGTGATGTAAAAAGAAATCTTTTACCACCGTTCTCTCAAATTTATCATGAAATTGTTTCTAAATATACATGGAACCATTATTGCAGAAGTTACATGCACTACTGTGTTTTACTTGAACATGGACAATATTAATTGTTAGTTTCTTTTTTTATCTCTGTTGTAGAAACTCTATCACTAAAAAATATGAACTCACCACAGCTTCATACAGCCTGCTAAACTCCATAGCATTTGGAGTAAGAATAGCTCTAGGGTAACCCTGAATGAGAGAAGGCTGTTGGGCAATAAGCCACAAACCATCCTGCACGAGAAAGAGAGAGAGAGAAGCATTCAGTGGAAAAAACATGATCATGCAACCAAGCGAATGAAAGCTGAATACTTACAGCATCAATTACAATAGGGATTCCTTTGACCTTGGATTTTTCTATAATACCCTATTAAAAAAAAGATTTTAAGAACTGTTAGTTCACCTGTGAAAGTACAAACAATTTCACCTTTAAAAATTATGAATAGGTGTTACAGTTTCCAAATAAGGAATATGAAGAAAGATGCTTCTAGAAAACTAACAGTTCAAAATGCCATTTGTTTATATATTCTCAAGGGTGGTGGTGGTGGGGTTTTGCACAAAATATCCCCCTAGCCTTTTTCATTATAAGCTTGTCTAGACTGAGGCAACTGCACACATACATTTTTAACATAACAGGAACAGTAGGGTTATCACAGAACCATTCACTATGGTACACTATGATATATAAATTCAGAGCAGGGTGAAAATAAGCTAGTACAAGCAGGCATGGAACACTGGAAAGACGGTGGCTGAAGAGGCTGAACCTCTCTTGTCTTCCAGTTCAAATGCCCAGAGAACTAGTAGTAGGAAGAAATTTAAATTGCATTTACAGCTAGCTTGCTGCAATTGTCCCTCTTCTGATGACTGGAGAATGCTGTATGTTTACAAATAGACAGGCTAGTACAAATCAGTGCTATTCTTTTGCAATGCGGATTCCTTTGGTTAAAGTACAGGTAAGATATTTTATAATGCAGGCTAGTCCTGCTCAAAACTACAAGCAGGCCATCTGCAAAAAATTAAATAAAAATGCATTCTTCCAGCTTCATTTAGCCTGGAAGACGGCCCCCTAACATTAACTTGGCTGACCTGGCTATGTGGATCTATGTTATGGTTCCTTGTGCACTCCACACAGGTCTATTTTTAAAGTCAATTTGGAAACTTCAGTTGGCTCTCTAAAAAAGTATTTCTTTTTGTCCATCCTGAATCTATTGCCCATAAGTTTTATTGGACGCTTCTAGTGTTTTGGAAGAGGAAGAAAAATTATCTGTTTCCACTCTCTCTACCTCTGCATAATTTTAAAAACCACTATCATGCCCCCCCAGTTGTCTCTTTTCTAAAAACTGAGAAGTCCCCCAGACTCTTCAGCCTTCGCTTATAGGAAAGGTGCTTCAACTCCTTACACATCTTGGTTGCCTTCTTATGTACTTTTTCCAGTGCTTCAGTACCTTTTCTGAGATACTGAGACAACTGCACACAGTATTCCAAATAAGGCTGCACTGTTCAGGGGCATTGTAATATTGATGGTTTTGTTTTCAGTCCCTTTCTTAATAATCTCCAAGGATGCCTTTTTCACTGCTGCAGAACAATGGGTTGACATTTTCATTGAGCTATTCACTACAACCCCAAAGTTTCTTTACCTTTCATTCTCAGAAAGTGCAGCCCTCATTAACACATATGTAAGGTTGGGACCTTTTATTCCACTATATCTATAGACCTGCCCGCATGCCAATGTACAAGCAAAGCTTCTGCTTCTTTTCACTGTTGTAGGGGGCTCCCTATAAGCTGGGTTGATCACCCATCTCCCATTGTTTAAATATTTGTAGAAGTTAGATTTGGAGTATTCCATTAAATGCAAATGGGGGTTGTTCAGGACAGATCTTTATTAGTAATTTCCTATTGAACAATCTTAAAATCTACTCTCCATTCAGAGCTCTGGTGATACAGCACACTATAAATGTCAGTCAAATCACAAAATTATGTTTTATGTTGTACTGGAAAAAGGATTCTTAAAGCATGCTACACATCCATCCAATGGTGGGATCTCTTTTTCTTTCTGGTCAGCATGACTAAAGTGAGAAATAAAATTAAAGCCTTGGTTTTGCACTGAATTCAAAAAAGCCCTTTCTCTGAATTTGGGAAAACTTACAAAAAAGCCTTAAATTATCTCCTCTAAGGAAGTTTACGTAAACTTGTCATCAATGGAAGTTTCACACACAGGCCAATTTTAACAACTGTACCTGATAGTTTTACTGGTCTCTTACTCCCCTTGATTTCCATTTTAAAAAAACGGTCAATAATAGTTACCAGTGATGATCTTACAACAGAAATTTACTTCATCATGCATAAAATGTTGTTTAAAATGTCTAATGCATCACCTGATAAATATCACAAAAAAGTTGTAGCTGTTTGGTATCCTGTTATAAGTTTTACGTTGAATAACGATATTATTCCTGATAATCCACAGTATAAAAAAATGGTTTACTTTTGATTTGTATTGGAAAAATAATATGTTGTATTTCGTTTGTTTAACGTTGAAAATGTATTTTGTTGATTGTAACTTCTGAAAAAAATGTTAATTAAAAAAACCCCAAACAAACAGAAATTTAGCTTCACAAAAACAGCAAGGGCAGTACATTCACGATCATTACCTTGGCATTGTCAAGTAGTATGTCATCCCTCCCTAATCCAGGCCCTATGACAACAGAGTGTAGTCGTGGTAACCACTTCTCTACTTCATGAACGGCATCAGGGCTGTCACTGAGGAAATAAAAAGGAACACAAAGTGGCAGATTTTCTGAGTCTTTCATTTGCAAGAACCTTCATTTTTTCCAGTGAGCCACAGTAAATGCCACCCACCCCACAGCATCTGTACTACAAAAAAACCAAACAACCGATACTATTTTCTCTTATATTGGCACCAAATTAAGTCAGTGCTATCTATACATGACGAAGCAAATTTGTTGTCTGCTTCCGTCCCAAGAAAACATGGTTGATCATGTTTCCCATGATATGGACTGTAACACACTCAGTTGCACCACTTCGCCACTACAACTAACGCAGAATGACATTATGGTAAGCATGGCAGAATCATCACAGCAAACACTTAAAATGCCAGGTGCACTGTGCCCATCCACCAGGGTCTAGAGAGAGACTGTATTTTGACCCTCCCTCCAAAAAGACACTAGATGGAAATGTTCCCCTCTCCATCTGAGAATCAAGTACTCAACTCAATTTGATCTGCCTCATTATCTCAATATACTGGCAGTTCCAAAAATATGATTACACGTTGCTCATGGAAGAATGTTTAAAGGAGAGAGTAAAACAGAAAAAGTTACTTACAGAACTGGATGAACAATTAGCTCTGGGCTGTAAGACTTTATTACAGTAGCTGCATCTTTGGTACAAAAGACGTGGGACAGGTCTGCACCCTAAGAGCATTAACATCCCATTAGTACTAGCACTAAACCATCAAGAACTAATTACTCATTTAAAACAGAACAGGCAAATAAGAAAGCAGTTTCTGGCCTTCTAGCCTTATGCTGCCACCTGACAGAACAAAACTGTTTCTTGGGTCTACTTTCCATACTGGTGGTACCCAATCCCAAATATACTTTCTTGGAAGTCTAATGACTTCACTAGAACAAATGTTCATAGGGTTAGAATATAAATATGATCTTAGGCAGTGTTCTCACCAGCCCTCTCAAAACAGCAAGTAACTTCAGAAGTTCATCTTGAATGATGCTATCATACCCAACGTCAACTGGAATAGTGTACTCCTCACTGAGTGTTCAGTGCCAAGAACACAAAAGTACATTATTCTAAGGGTAAATGCTGTTGTAATGCCTGGCAAGCTCAAAACATAAGTATGTCTGAAGCATCATCGCATATGCTCTGAGCAATTCTGAGCAAAATATTTAAAATGTATACCAAAAATCATAATATTATTATCTCTTTTATAATTTTCTTTTAAGTTTTTAACGCTTAGCTCATGAAAATTTCTGTACTCCAAAAGTCAATTTAACATGCAATCCGCAAAGGGGTAACCACATTAAGTCTGTTGCAGAAAAACAAAACAAAACTCCACTGGCACCTTAAAGACTAACAATTGTTTCAATATGAGCTTTCATGAGTTAAAACCAGGGTAAAATAATCATTTTCAAAAACTGAATATTGTATAGGGTATAAGCAATTTATAATTTATTATCAAAAATGGCAATAAGCCATCTAAACAAGGTACAGTCAGCTTCTATCAGAATATTCAAGTCCAATTCATTTCAATGTGTTTTAAACGTACTTAATATTAGACTGCTGTATGCCTAATGCTCACGATCCAATGCCTAATGCTATTTTCGGTGGGCTTAGGTAGGCTCCAACTCTTTGAACAGACACCTCATGCAAAGACAGAAAACCACATACCACTTTGAGAGCTGAAATTGCAGCAAAATACGGTGCCCCTGTGTACCTGCAAATGAAAAGGCTTAGTTTAAGAAGCATATCTACTCTGTTATCAACTCAGCAGATAAACCAGGATGAAGATAAAACAATCTATGTTTTCCTCCTGTTAATTACACACCTACTTTAAAGTCTGGATGTTAAAACTGATCCTGTCGTAACTGTGTCAAATCTACCAGAAAAGGTTAAGATAATATTATCAGTTGCTGTGATAGTTGCCAAGCGATATACTGTTATTTCTTGCGCCTCCTTATTTTGATAGATATTTCATTCACAGGGCAAGAATTTATTCATGAGAAGAAGAGAGAAATCGTTTGGTTGTATGAAAGGGTGATCATAACTGCAGATAATCTTATGGCGAACATGACTGCATGACTGCATTTAATCTACTGATGGAGAACTTGACTGTGACCTCTCTGAGACACTGTATCAGGCTGTTCAATTAAAATATGCTATTTCAATCTGGCCAAGCGTTTAGATTAACGAAGTAACAATAACAAAACACATACAAAAACAAGCTCTCTCTCAGTATTATGCAATATTAATTATCCCAATATAAGGGGCACAGGATATTTTACAAAGTTGCTATCCTACCCTTATGCTCTCACAAGGGCCACCAAGGTGGCTAACAAATTAAGCCATACCTAATAAAAGTCACATTTTAAAATAACTCAAACCAATCAAAAGAAAAACCCTAAAACATCATAAACCTGGAGCTAAAATACATACAAAAACATTAAAAACAACAATTAAACTTTGGACAGGAAGGAGGATAAGAGATTCAGACCTCCAGATTTCAATTCCAATGCCCTGATGCTATTCAGGTGTACACTGGGAAATAAGTTGGGCAGTGAGGATCCTGGCAACTTTTATTATAAAACACTGAAGTGTTTTAAATATAATTTTTGAGGGTCTCAACTTCCCTTTTCAAAATAGAATAAAGCTTACATTCTCAAGATTCTGGAGTTCTGCTAGGAAGACCTTTAAAGCTCCAGTTTGTTTCAGATATCAAAGCAAAAACAACTGTTTGTTGCCCCATCAGTAAACGTTGAAGGATCTTGTATGATTCCCTCCTCTTCCCTGCCCTCATGCTTTGATGGAAAATAAAAAATTTGTGCAAACTGACAAAGGACAGTCTGTGCTTGTGCGATGAGTTAGGATTCCAAGCATCCTCCCTTTTAACTGTCTGACAAGGAGGAGGATACTATCTGGGCTGAGGTGCTTATACTTCCCTGTCTGGGAACCACGGCTGGAAGTTCCTTCTGCTCCTTTCTGTGGTAAGAACTCTCCTCAGCACCATACACATGTAGCAGGCGCTTCCCTACTAAAGTTCAGACAAATTAGCAAGACAAAAGGATTGATGGAACTGGAACCCTACAAGTCCCATTAGTTTGCTCTGAAGCAAGTAGGACTGAAAGGAAGGGGGGGGGTCCTTCCACTGGACAAGCTACAAGTCTTCTGCATGGTCTTTCCCCTGAAGCAACAGGAAGAGCAACATTCTCCTGAATAACCTTTACCACTGAAGTAGAAGAATATTCTACTAGAATTCTAAAGACAGTGCAACTTAATCTTCTCCTAGGACTCACACGTCGTATTCGACAAATTTGGTCTTAAAATCTAAAAAGCTCTGAACTTATTCATAATCGATCAACTGGGAAGCTGAATCGCAAATTAATGCAGAGGAGTATGGCCTATCATGCCTGCCTAGGTATTGAATCACACGATGCTAGCAATGCATGTGCCTCAGGCCTTTAAACAGAAACATGTATGTGTGGCTTGTCAAAGTCCACTCAGCTGGTCACCTGTAGAGAGTAGGGTCTTCCAGGCAAGGAAAGAAGCTTTGTAAAAATGGAAGACATCTTTTCCCCTTTTAAATTATTATGGTGCCATCGGTAACTTAAGTAAGATTTGAAGATTTATTTGCAAGGGTGATGTACAATTCCCTTCAACTTACTCTTGGCATCCTCCAACAATCCCTATTCGTCCATCTTGGCCTTTATGTTTTTTGGCAGTTAAAGGAGGAATAACATTTCTCACCAACTGAAATATATTCTCCATATCCTTTATCGAATGCGCTTTGTGTACTGAAAATGATCTCTCTATAACTGGAAAAGAAAAAAAAAGTATGATTAAATTACAAAAGTGAATGTTTCGTAATATTCAGCGTGAAGACTGTGTTAAATCTTAACATGAATTCTGACATACTGCCAAGAGACTTAAGTATTAACAATTTTTAGCCATACCTTTAAAATCCTGCGTGACGGGCACATTCCTAATTTTAAGCACTGCAAGCAATCTCACTCGCTACTAATAATCTTTGCAGGTCTGGTTAGGCCTTAATCAATAGAAATCACCAACCAAGCAGACAGAGGCGAAAGCATTTGTGTAGCTTTGCAAACAGTGTGCTGGGCCTGCATATCCAGGCATCAACTTTCCACTCTCCTACAGTGGCCACACACTTCTGGAAGCACTGGAAATATACTAGGAAAAAGCACATAGAGGCAGTGTTCCCTCTAAGCTGAGTTCGTGTGACCTAGCTCATAGTTTTTTAGCCTCTGGCTCATACATTTTTGTCTTAGCTCAGGAAGAATGGCTCAAAAGCAAACTAATTTATGTAATAGCCAAATTGCTTGCTCACTGCTTTGATGCTAGTAGCTCAAAAAGCAGAATTTTTGCTCACAAGACTCCACAGCTTAGAGGGAACACTGCATAGAGGTACAATTTCCTCAGGAATACCCCGACACTTACTGACGGATGCACAACACGTGGATTATATAAATCATGCTAATGCTTTTGGTAGTCCCTGCCAGCGGTGGTATCTGACAAACATCAGCCCAGGATTAAGGAGTCTGCATGACAGTCCTTTAGGGATGGAAGGCCTGACATAGTACTTCAATCCCCCCCCACCCACCCCCCAGTGCAATTTGAAAATGTCCCATGTAGTACAGAGGAGAGCTGAACAGGAATGTGTTAAATAGTAGCACGCTCTAGGACTTTTGCACCTGGATTAGATTCCACTCCCCACATTAGCAGAGGTATTGGAACAGCCACACTGATTCTCTGTTCCCTGCCCCCCCCCCAATCTTCTCATCTGGCACTGCAGAAAAGGCAACAGTGTGGAGAAAAGAGGGAAACAAATGAGGGAGGACGGTGGTGCCCTATCCCTAGTCTAAAAGCCATCTTGTGATTAACTCCAAACCGTAATTACCCCTCTCTCCATTGGATGCAAGGCAACTTTTACACCAGGATGCAACCAACTCCCTCAACGGGGAACAAAGCACTGCGCAGGAGAAACGTGCGCTGGCAAGAAGCACAGACTGGGCCTTAATCACTTAAATCTCAAAACTGCAAATCAGAAAAAAAAGATTAATGTTGCTGGGACACATTAATTTATTAAACTATTGACATGTCTTATTGTAAAATAGTGTTCCCATTCCATATTTCCGCATCTTTAAAAAAAAAAAGTCTCCGCTGGCGAACTTTAGATATCGTAGTTCCAACTGAAAATTCATAGTACATTATATCTACCAAACTGTTGTTCTCCATTCGTGTCTCTCTTGAAGTTCAGGCTACCTACTTTTAAAAAACCAAGCAGTGCTTAGTTGTCACTATCAAATACATTTTACAAGTAACACTCATTTCCCAGAGGGGAAAAAACCTCTCTAAAAGTCTATATTCAACAAGGCAGCCTAATAATTGCATTATCAACAAAAACTCTTTTACCTCATCCTCAGTACAATCACTCCAGTAGCAGACTAATATATACTGAGATAGATCCTTACAGGTCAATAATTCTAACTCATCACTTGAATTAGAAGCCTTCCTGCAATAAGGCTGTTTCTCTGCCACTGAGATTACATACACAACCTACTTAGGACAGAGCCAGAATACAGTTACAGAAACCTCAGAGCATGACTTAATCTAGTTGCACTTACTTTACTTCTGTTAAAAAGCCAAAAAAAAAAAGAATACTAGTTCTCAGGGCAGACAAACAGAGTGAACAAGGGCCAGGAAGTCATGATGGGTGGTGAAATCTTTTTGGGACTCCTTCAGGCTCTACCAATGTCAACAGTGTATGTTCTGATTCTTCTCCACAATTATGGGAATTAAAAACATCCTCATTTTCAAAACAGAATATCAACTAAGGCACAGGGGCCGGATACTGCAGGGGGAGGCGTGGCTAAATGCCTCAGAGGAAACTAACCCGTGGCTGCCCGAGTACATGTCCCGGTCTCAAGGTCCCATGGTTGACGGAAATGCCGATCAGATGGGTATCCTGCAGCGCGGCACAGAAGCCACGCCGTGCGATCGCACTGGCAATTGCTCTTTGTGCGCATGTGCTGTTGGGCGCTGCTGCGCAACCTGCGGAGACAAACAGCGGCGGGCGCCGGATGCCATGTAAGTCCACCGGAAACATGATCAGACGCCCGCCCTTGGCCCGCGGTTTCAGGAAACTAGTACCTTGTAGGTACTAGTTTTGAACTCCGCACCTTCAGCGGGGAGCCACGGGAGCACTGCGCTTTCCAGATGTTGGGGTGAGATCGTGCCCGGAAAATCTGTGGGACTCCCGTGCCTCTCCCGTGGCAACTTTGCCGTGTGACTGGGGCCTAAAATGGACAGGACTCTGATTAGGGCTCTCAGTTTTATGCTGGTCACTATATACTGTATCATCACATCTATTTTATTCCACACCTCGAAAACAATGCAGATTCGTAAACAAATGGGATAGGGAAGATCAAAAGGCTTCAGACACAAGCATCTGTAGTTTAAGTGAGGAGCCTAGACAAAAAACCAAAAAGGAAGCAGCAGAGTGCTGCTCCTTTCTCCTTTAGTGGATAAATCACTGTGCTCAGCCATACAGATATTTTCCAACTAATTATTGTTTTCCTTACAATTTCCCCTAAAATATCAGGCTTTATAGCTACAGCAGAGTCTCAGATACTTGAATAAATTACTAACAAGTGTTAACAGTTCTCAGTATAAGTGATTATGAAATCAGACTAACACCAAGCGACTGAAGGCTTAAAAGCAAACTCCAGTGAACCCAGAATTTAATTAAGGGCACAAACACAGAATGAAGGGCACACAGACAAGATTGCTTAATATAGATTTTTGACCCATTAACACCCTTAATCACTCTGTCATATGCACAAAGGGCAATTAGACAATGGTAAGGGATGTGGGTTTTCTTTCCCTCTTTTGCAGTAATAGTGAGCACAGAACCAAAGGCTGACATCTACCTCAGATTAATAAGCACAAACAAATGCAGAAATGTTCCTGTCTTCTCATTTACCCAACAGTCCCTTTTGTGATTCCTCCGCCCCCAAACCTGATGTCCTGGAGTCTCCTGGCACAAGAGGGAAGTAGGGGAAATTCCCCCCAAATTTCTGCAGTCTTCTCCCCAGTGCCATTTTGCCCATGAAACTCCCCTGACCCCCAGCATCAGCTTGCCTGTTTGGGGATAACAAAGGGCTGCTGGAGCAAAGGGAATGCAGTGTCCTCAAGGACCTTCTGCCATTGGGTCCAGAGGTTGCAACCACAGACAAAAACGGTTTGCCTTGGTTGCCCAAAACCTTCACAAATACTAGTACAGTCCTCATGGAAATAGAAGGGGCTTATACCCAAAGATCCCTTCCAGTTTCCAAGTTACGTTACACAGACTCTCAGAATTTCAAAAGGACAAAACAAAGCAAGCAAGCAAACAACAACAAAAAACAAATCTTTGTCTACTATCACTAATCCTGCACTGCAAAACTGGACAGGAATAAACACCACATACAGGTCACAAGGGGTGACGGCTGGGCCCATGGAACTTACAAGCACCCAGCACAACTTCAGAGAGTCCCTTAGTACACATTTCAGAGATCTTGGCAACATAATGGGAGTCTTGAAACAGATGGACTTGATGTCGAAAGAGTTCCTTGAGGATAAGAAGTCATTTGCATTACTGAAATTATCTCTCACTACTATACTTGTATGGTAGGACACATACTGTTACTTGAAGGCAGCCTCAGGGTTAGGGTTAGTATTAGAATGCTGTTTAAGAGAGCAGGGATGTCACTTCTGAGGCTGCAATCACAAGCCTTCAGAAAAGGAAGATTTCTTTGGCCCCGGTCACACGGGCAGGAAACTGCAGAGGAGAAGCGTGGCTGTTTGCTCTGGGGCAAACTACTGCGCAGTTACGTGATCAGACCTCCTGTGGAGGTACCGTGGAGGTTCCATGGAGGTTCCATGGCAAGGGAGAGGTGCCGATCACAGGACAAGCCGGCGCTCAACAAAGAAGCGCGCGCCGCGGCAAATTGTTTTTTATTTTTGTGTACATGACAAATGTGCATGCTCCGTTGGGTGCGCATGCGCATCCACAGAGACTTGGACAAAAAAAAAACACCTTATTTGCAAGGGGACATGGGCGGGCGCCGGATGCCACCGGAAACGCGATCAGACGCCCGCCCTTGCCCCGCAGTTTCCGGAAACTAGTACCTCCAAGGTACTAGTTTTTTGCCACGCAGTTTCGGCTGGAAGCCTCGGTTGAGCCACGGGAGTGCTACGCTTCCCAGATGTGCTGGTGAGATCGCGCCCGGAAACTCCGGCTGTCTTCCGTCTCACTTGTGTGGCTTCTGTTACGTGTGACCGCAGCCATAGTGATGCAAATTAATGAAGGCCTAAAAAATGGAGCTGCAGTGGCTCAAGTGGTTAAGACGCTGAACTGCAGGCTGTGGAAGGTCAGTAGTTCAGCAGTTCAAGACCCGGGTGCCGCAAGACAGGGTGAGCTCCTGTCTCTAGTTCCAGCTCCTGCCAACCTAGCAGTTCGAAAGCAAGAAATTGCAAGTAGATAAATAGGTACCACTTCGGTGGGAAGGTAACAGCGTTCTGTGCGCCTTGGTGTTTAGTCATGCCGGCCACATGACCACGGAAACGTCTTTGGACAGCGCTGGCTCTTTGGCTTTGAAACGGAGATGAGGACCGCAACCCTAGAGTCGGATTCGACTGGCTTTCGAGCAAGGGAACCTTTACCTTTACCTAAAAAATCGAGAGGACTGAAGAATTCCCCAAGGGCCTAAGACAATTTTTTTCTCACCTAATGCGGGAGAGCAACAAACTTGCCAAAGTAAGGTTTGTGAGGATCAAATCTGCAGCATGTTGGAGATCACAGTCAGCCTAAAAGCTAAATATGTACAACCTTGACTGATTTTACAAAAAGGGCACCTAATTTCCAGAAAGGTGGGGGGGGGAGTGTGTATGTATTGCTCCTAAACTAACCACCTCCTCACAAACTAGCATCAATTACAAATTACTCATATATTATACTTCTAACGTAGTTCAAGCGGAACACTGTCAATTACTAATTCCAACACACTTATAAAACACGAAATATCAAGTGATATGAATTAATTCCCAGGTGATCAGAATTCGCTTTTATGTTGCCACAATCACTATGATGTAAATAAATACTGATCTATACTGCCACAATGACAGAGATACGCACACTATGTCACTGTCACAGACTTTTATCATTCGAGTTTAACCTAATACAACAAGATGTTTTGATTATTTTAAGACACCTCAGAACACATCACTCACCAACCATTCAGTTTTTTAAAAAAAGAATTCATCATCAACATGAACAAAAACACTAGCTACCAGGTCCAGGTATCATTTATGCAAGAGAATGAAGTACCTATGGGTGGAGATAGTGCTGCTGTCATAGAATTATAGTTAAAATTATCTCCGTATGACCGGTGATTTGATCTCTGAGAAGGATTGCTTGATATACACTGTGACCTTTGAGACACTGTAGAAGAAATTCCTGCTAACATCTGTCCCAACATCTGTAACATCTGGAGCTCTCTAGCATGCTCAGCTTCTCGCCGCTTGTCTTCAATTTTAAGCCGCTGCTCTTCATATCTGTAGAATTTCTCTTCGGTCTCCACGCTTTGTTGCAGAAACTTTTCCATCATTTTGTCCACGGTTAAGTTTGCATGGCGTTTTTTTGATCTTTTAGTCTGAGACAACAGGGGCGATGCATTGGTATGAGCATTCATTTGTTTAAAACCTAAAAGAAAAGTAAATACTACATTTTCATGTTTTTAAAAAGATGTTAAAACAGTTTTGTTTACTTATGGCATTTCTATTCTACCTTTCTTTGTCAAACCATCCACAGGGTCCCTCTAGTCACATTTTGATTAACTATCCACTACTTACAAATATTTAATCATGTATACACGCTTGTTAATTTGAGCCTTGACAAACAGTGATATTTTCACAAGTAGCATATTCAGTTCCTCATTTCGCATCCTGCTTGTCTCCCCAAGGGGGGAACCCTTTGTGAGGTTGGTTAGGCTGAGGGTGTGTGACTGGTCCAAGGCCCCTAAGCAAGCTTCTTTGGCAGAGTGGGGATTTGAAGCTGGGTTTCCTTGATCCTAGGGGCTGCGGTGGCTCAAGTGGTTAAGATGCTGAACTGCAGACCGGAAAATCGGTAGTTCAGCAGTTTGAGACCCAAGTGCTGCATGATGGAGTGTGCTCCTGCCAACCTAGCAGTTCGAAAGCAAGAAATTGCAAGTAGACAAATAGATACCACTTCGGTGGGAAGGTAACAGTGTTCTGTGCGCCTCGGCGTCTAGTCATGCCGGCCACATGACCACGGAAATGTCTTTGGACAGCGCTGGCTCTTCGGCTTGGAAACGGAGATGAGCACTGCAACCCTAGAGTTGGATTCTACTGGCTTTTGAGCAAGGGAAACCTTTACCTTTTACCCTCCTTGATCCTAGTATGACATTCTAACCACTACAACCAGGCATTTATAGTTATAGTGAACAATTGTGGTAAAAACTAGAAAAAGGCAAATCCAAGGATTCAAAAATTTCTAATAATCATGAGGATTTTTTAGGTAGCATGCTTGGAAAAAGAAAAGATCATACATTCATTTGATCTGTTAAAATATTTTAACAGCTCCATTTTATTTGTGTATTGCAAGCAATTACCACTAATCCCCTGCTTCCAGATCTGCATTACAAAGGGATCCAACTGTAAACATTTCCTCTTTGAAGTTATTTATGTGTAAAAATACGCATTTTAAGTGCAAAGTCAATGGGCTGAAGAAGGAACTTTCAGTTCCAGATGTATACAAAATGCATATACATGTGTGTACGGGTCAGATTTAAATAAAAGCCAACTAAAAATCAGGAAACAATGTGCAAACGGTATAGTCTCATTTTGCTCTCCAAGAATCTTTTTCTAAAAATGAGATGCACACACATGCATTTATATGTTTAAGATGCTTCCTCTACTATCTATTTGTGTATGAGAAATTAAAGAGTATCTGTGGAAAAGGCCTGCAGATTTATAAACATCAAGAGCTGAAGGGTTTTGTTTTTACCTGAAGGGATTTCTATTATTTTCCTATATGCCTGCTGCATGTTTAAAAATGCAAACAAAGAAACATTGTAATGTGTGCAGCTAACAATTTCGTCTTAAACCAGGATAAGTAAGACAGGAAACATACTCTCCTTAAGAGAAAAGACTGGCAAGAGAGTTTGGTATAATGGTTAGATTGCCAGACTACACCCTAGAAGACCCAAGTATGAATCCCCACTCTTCCATGAAACACGCTGGGTGACCTCAGACCAGTCACACCCAGCCTAGCCTACCTCACAGGGCTGTTGTGAGGATAAAGAGAACAAGGAAACAATATTGTGAGCTGCTTTGAATCCCCATGGGGGAGAAAGGTGAATATAAATATGCTAATTAATTAAGGATGTTTGCAAATGTGCAGTGGGGCAAGGACTTGCTAGAGCAATAATCCTGCTACTTTAGAAGATCAGGGAGTTCTTCAAGTTGCAATACATCAAATGTGTAGATATAATGCATGGATCATTTACACAAGACACCCCCTTAAGCAAGCATTTCTACACCTCATGAATGTGTACACCAATGTTTATGTATGTACACACGAGAGATTCACATGAATGCGTGCAAAGATTTCCCCCAACTGCAGACCTAGAATAAGTGAGAGAGTAACTTCTGCAGAACTCTGGATTGGTATGAAGTGTGCTATCGGGACAACCACACAAAAGCCAGGGGTTAAATGTGCTACCAATTAATATGTAACTGGCATATTTCTGGAGCAACTATAAACTGCAGCGGAGGGAATGGATGTCAGAATGAAGGGCATAGTCAAAACATGTTTGGCAGTATTACAGGGAACGCTGCCTAACCTAAAGAAACAGCAAAACCTCTTTAACAGGGATGCGAATATCTGTATTGTGTGCAATTAAAAACATAGGAAGAGATTCCCATCCTCTGTCTAGATGGGTGAGGGGGGAGAGAATAAGGCTTTTGCAGTACAGCCAAGATCGGGGGTGGCCCCCTTTCAGGAGCCTCTTAAGACAAAATGATGCTTACAACATGTGTGTGTGTGTTTCGAAGCTGAAGTGTGGTATTGGATTTTATACAGGTGCAAAGGTGTGCAAATCAAGCGGTCGGTGTGCCTGTTCTGGGGAACTAGGAGGAAAAAGAGTTTAACCCCCCCCCTTTCCCATTTTTTTTTTCACTCACCCTCAGCGGGCGGCAGCGGGATGGCGAAGGGGGGGCACTCCACTTTGATGGCGTGCTCGGCGTAAGAGGAGCATTCCCCGGAGTTGTGGTGGAAGTTGTTTCGCCGGGGGGACCCGAGCTCGCCGCCGCCGCCGCCGTACTCCTCCTCTTCCTCTTCGTCGTCCTCTTCGTCGGGCTCCTCCGGGTCCGCCTCCCGGCTGTTGCGCGGCGGGACGCCGGGCCCGGCAGAAGGGGGCGCGGCGAGGGCGGCGGGCTGGTGGCAGCCATCTGCTACCGCCACGGGGGTGAGAGGCCGCTCGGCCGCGCCGTGTCCGTCCACGCCGAGGCCGCCGCCTCCTCCCCCGGCCCCCCCTCCGCCTTGCCTGCAGCTGAGGATCCGGTCCATCTCGTCGTAGTACTTGCAGATCTTGCGGGCGTGCCCGTTCTTCTTGAGCCCCTCGCGGGCCTGGTAGTACTGCCGCTTGAGGCCCTTGATGCGGATGCGGCACTGCTCCGGCGTGCGCTCGAAGCCCAGCTCGGCCAGGCGGCAGGCCACGTCCCGGTACACATGGCTGTTGCGAAAGTTGCCGTCCAGCGCGCTCTGCACGTCCGCCTCCCCCCAGATCTCCAGCAGCGCCCGCGTCTCCAGGTCCGACCACAGGAAGCCCCGCGTGTTGGTGATCATCCTCCCGCCCGCCCCCCACCCGCCCGTGGCGGCGGAGGAGGCGGCGGCGGGACCGCAATGGCCGCGCCCGCCTGGGGAAGGGACGCGGCGAGGAGGACGGCGGCGGCGGTGGGCGGGAGGCTCAATGGAGGGACGGGAGGGAGGCGGGGAGCGAGCGAGCGAGCGAGCGAGGCGGAGGAGATTAACGCCCGCCAGCCCCGCTCCCGTCCCCTCAGTCCCTCCCCTCGCTGCTGCTGCTGGGTCCCTTGTTGTGAGGAGGAGGAGGC